CCCCCCTTCCTAGGCGCCCGACTGGGTCAAGTCACGTGTCGCTGCGAGTGGCGGAGCGCGCGGAGCGATCGACGCCGCCGCCACCGCCCCGCCTTGTGATATTCCACCTCTGAGGTGACGATGCTGCTGGCCTGTTTATTCTTGGACGCGTTTTCGGTCCCCCCGGTGTGGCACGGACGACGTGGCTCAAGGGACCCCCGACCCCCGTCATGAAACACGCATGTGTTGTCCCCCCGGGCAGGTGGGCCGGACAGCACGGGACACTCCTCGGGCAGCAGCAGCAGCAGCATCAACGTAGCAAGCAGCGGAGCGGTGACAAATAACGTTTGAAAAACCTCGTGGCGCGAATAACTCTGGGGCGCAAGGTCCTCCCCATGCCGTGCCGTGCCGTCCCGCACCGGACGTATCGCCCGGTACAGATCTGGAAACGCGAGCGGCTCGGCGCCCGCAGCTCATGAATTGCTCATGGGCTCCGACCCCATAAGGGATAAGGGCCATAGGGCCGCCATAGGGCCGCTGCCCTCGGTGCCCGGCCCGGGGACGGGGCCAGAGGATCGGCTACACTGTGACCCTGGAGTTATAGTGCGGCTTATTTCCTTATTTATGTGTTATTAGAAATTCTTATAAGGCTAACAGCCAACAGCCGACCAAAAGGGTGAAAGGCCGAAACGTGTACCCGTGACAAGTTCGGCAGGCGACCTTCCCGTCACACGAAACGGGGGGGACGTATCGTGAGTGGCAGGAAGGAAGGGTTCGCGCCTTTGTAATCAGTGTACACGGAGGTGGAAGGGGGCGTCACCGTCACCACCGTCGTCATGTTCTCGGCCTGGGGAACCGGAGGAGAGCCGCCTCGCGGGAGAGGCTAAAAATAATGCTCCGTGTATCAGGGAGAGCAGCCGATAGCGGGTCGAGAAGGGGCCCGGCCGGACCAGCGCGGCAGGCCGATAGCGATACCGCTGCCTCGCTGGCGGGGCGGAGTAGGCGTGGAGGGGCGGAGAGTGGCGGAGAGTGGCAGAGAGTGGTAAAGAGTGGTGGAGCGGCGCGGTGCGGCGCGGCGGGGCGCGAATGACTTCCAGAACACGTGAGGGTCGTCAGATCACGCGTCACGCTCGGCCGCACGTGAGACGCGCCGCGCCGCCTAGTAGTTTTGTGCCTTGCCCTCCGATCTAGGGGTGGGGTGTGGCCGTTGGCCGTGGCGGGGCGCCTCGCCGACAGAGCAGGTCTCTAGTCTAGTCCGAAGTACGGCGGGAACAAACACACATGACGCACACGCGGGGGAGCCGATGGCTGCCGATGGCCGGTGATGGTGCACTACTGCGCGGTGATGGTGGTGAGCGCCCGGCCTCTCCCAGCGAGCCTCGCATCACGTCGCCCCGGGTGCCCGGGTTTGTTTTCGCAGGGGGCTCCTCTTTTTTGCGTCCCCTGTTTGAAGAGAGCACCCCCTCCGCTCCGCTGGAGGCCCTCCTCGTTTGCTTTCTCACTCCCCCTTCCACTTCTCCCTCTCCCCTCTTTCTCTCTCTCTCCAACGCTGCAGGGCGGATCATGTTTGTGAAGCCCGCGGGACAACACGACGCGCCCCTCTGTGCCGCGTTGTGCAGAATACGGGAGTGCTCTCCCTCGCCTCGCCCTCGCCGAGGCTGCCGAGGCCCAGAGGGACGGACGCGCGAGTGACACACCTCCGCGGCGCGGCGCGGCGGGGCGGGTTCAACGACGCGCCGCCAGGGAATTCCTGCCCGGCCAGGTAATCCGCAGCGAGATAAGGACATATGTGCGTGGTGATAAGGTCCCGTGCAGGCGTGACGGGACAGGCCAGGCCGCATAGGACTGACTGAGGAGGTCAGGGGATGAAGGGAGGGAGGGAAGGGGGCAGCCCATCTGCCGAGCTAACCAAACCATCCCCGGGAGGGAAGTGAGGGTTGGTGAGGCTCCCCCGCCTGCCCAGCCTCGCCTGTCGTAACGCATAGCCCCGGACCTCAGTCACGCCCGCCCGGGGTGGGGTGGGGTGCACCCTCCTCCTGGGGGAGGAAGGGCCCGCTGGCCCGCGGTTAGTCGGGGTGTCGATGTTGGTGTCGCATTTCGCACCCTCTTTCTCTGTCTCTCCTCTATTATCCCTTTCATCCCTAAAGAAGAATAGAGGTGGTCGTGAACCTAAAACCGTCCTAGCCACTAAAACGAAACAAAACACTTGCACCTCTCTCTCTCTCTCTCTCTCTCTCTCTCTCTCTCTCTCTCTCTC